GTAGGAACTGATTTTTTTTTTGTGGTCTTTTCTCTCTTTAAATGCAAACAATTCAACAAAAATCCCTCCATTTATTTTGTCATTTTTTTTCTCTGCTAAGCATTCCCATCAACCTGACAGGGTAGAGCTACAAGTCTCTGAGATTGAGAAAGGTCAGGTGGGTCTTCAACTGAACCCAGAAGAATTGGTGTTCTCAATTTCCTCTCTGTCCCCCTGCTTGGGTTACTTCCTTTCAGGATCATAGAGCTAGAAAGGCCCTCAGACACCATCTAGTCCAATTTCCTCATTTTAAAGAGGAGGAAATTCAGGTTAGGAAATTTGACCAGGAACATAGAGGATTTGAGCACAGGTCCTCTTATTTCAAAGCCAGTGCAAAAGAGATCTGGAGAACTGAAGGGGAATGGTAGCAGGGGCAATAGAGACAGTCCGGAGTTTCTCCTCCCAGAGCAAGGCTCCATCATCTACGTTTTTGTCCTAGCAGAATGTAAACTCCTTGAAGGCGAAGGTTGTTTTTTGTTTGGTTGGTTTGGGTATTTGTACCCCTAACACCTAGAGCAGTGCCTGGCACCTAGCAGATACTTGACAGTTTTCCCTGGTAAGGGAGGAGAAGGGCAAATGTCAGGAAGAACAATTCCCTGAGGGTTTCTAAACCTTGAAAGTTTTCTCACTTACGGACAGACTGATGCCCAATGGCGCTATGGATAGCTATTTTCTCAGTTTCACAGTTCCATTAGAATGCTGTCCAACCAGGTATTTTTGTTTGTTTGTTTGTTTTGGAGGATATATTTTGTTGTTGTTGTTGTTGTCTAAAGAAACCAAAATAAGGGAGGAGCTCATGACTTTAATGTGTATATCTTTAAGCATTATATAGCTGTGTATGTGATATATATCTATGTGTACACTGTGTTGCTTTAGATGATGCTTATGTATATTAATGGCTTTGCACTAAGGACACAAACAGTGGCCAGAAAAAAAAATTTACCTGAAAAAGTTTTGTGGCTTTGACTGTGATACTTGTTTATTGGCTGCTCTGGTGGTTCACCAGATAGTTATTGTTAGCAAGATGGCCTTCTATGATACAACCCACGTTCTTCTCTTGATGCTGATAATGACATTTGTCTTGGTTCTGCCAATTAAGGTAATAAGAACATGGGGATGGGGGGGTAGAGCAGGAGTTTTGCAGTTTCTGTTCCCTAGTGATGAAATAGAGGGGCTAGTGTGGATGGGACTAGCCTGTGACTCTTGGCTAGATGCCATGCTACCCTGAAGGCAAGAGTGTTCTTTTTTGGGCCACATTCCATAACTTGATGTTCATATTCCCATGCGGATAGACACCCATTAATGCCTAGAGGAGCTCTTAACTTTGGAAGAGAAAGGGGCAACTGAATCCAGGCCTAGCAATAATGGCATTTGATTCCATCTGCCCTCTCTGCTTCCCTCTTCCCCTGGCCTTCCTCCTACCATTTTTGGCAGGAATTGATCACTTATGGACCAAGGTGACGTGGTGTATTATAAAGAACAGAATGTGGAAGTCTGAGAGTCGGGAAGTTATTCTTTTTTCCTTGAAAGATCGAATAGTTACACTGTAAACCTCCAGTTTGTATTTGCTATCCAAGATAAATATATTTTCATGCCAAATGCAGTGTAAATGAACTTTTTCATTTGCTGAACTCATTAAAAATGAGGACCTTTCCAGTCATATAACGCCATCTTAAAGCTTCCATTTTAACTGTTTTGGTTGTATCCATGTGTGATACTAATAAACTTTTTTCCTAATAAAGAAGAATGCTTTGAAAAAAACCCTTAATAGCCAAGCTAATATTCAAACTATTTATTCTAAGAAGGATATCTTTATTCTAACATTTAAATTATATAAGATGTTACATTTTAAAGTCATCAGTTATAAAAATAAATCACCTATTATTATAACTGCATTTTTAAAAAAAACTGAACTCAGATCCAACATGATGAACTTGGATAGCTCCAACCTGATGATGCCATTCATTTTTTGTCCCTTCTCGAATTATTCCATTTTCCTCTGCCTAAAGAGGTGTATGCTTCTCTTTGGTGCTACAATCATGATTTACAGTTAATGTGGCATGAGGTATTCTACCAGCAGCATCTGTCAAGTTTTATGAAAGACTTGCCCAGAATCCATGTGGTGATTCCGAATTTTTTGTCTGACATACTTAAATGAGCATATCATTAAAAGATATCTGAAAGTTTACAGTGTAGTCTAAACTTTACCTGACTAGTGTTCAATTTCTACTCACAATTCAAGAGGCCAAGAAAATCAGAGTAGCTTATAGTGAGAATGGTATCCAGTGACCTGAACATTTGTCTCATTCAACATTATCCAAGTTCCTTCCCCTCATACTGATCTATGTTGATCTTTTAATATGTTTGAGGCTTGATATTTTTCTCTTTTTCATGATTTGGTCTCATCTACTACTCTCTTAGCTATCTCTTCTTTCTTCGATTCAATGTGGAATGTGACTATTTTTTTTTGAAGGATTAAGTGCACAAAGCATGGAACTTGGGTAGGAATTTTGTTACTTATTATTTGAATGTGGGCAAGTTATCAAATCTCTAAGTGCCTGTTCCTCTTCCTCCTCCCCCTAAGAATATTTTCATTTTACATATGAGAATCAGTGAGAAAGCATCTTGGAGGAAGAGGGCTTATGGCATGGTTCTGAAGCAGGAACATGGTTCACCACCCCCACCCCCACCCCTGAACAATTTGAATAATATTAAGTACTTTTGAGTCAAGTTCTTGGCATGTACTAATAAAAGCCCCAGATAAGGTTATCCCTTCTTTCCATGCCTTTGTGCATAGATGTCTGTGCTTAAGTAAGATCCTTAACAAGCCACCAGCCTTATCATTTCAGCTTTACCAGTATGGCCTTGTGGCGGGGAGCCAGCAATGAATATAGCACCTCCAGCTGAATACAATGACTAACATTTTTATGTGCTGATTTGTTTCCATATTTCTGTTTCCTCTCTTAAGGTCAACTGAAATGGGACAAATATTTTGAGTAGAACTAGGAGAATAGGGTAGCAAGTGGGGAAAGAATTATCCATATTTTCTCTTTTATTTTCTTGATTAGAGGTGGTAGACAGAGGTCCTTTTGGACCATGACTGCATGACTACAAAATAGCCAATCAAGTCAAACAATAACAAATAAAACATTCCCACACTCAATTATTTGGTGTCTCCACAAACAATAAAAGGAAATCTCTTCAGCACTAAAATTTTCATTTTTCAACTGGTTGTTTTGACATTGTGTAGACATAGCATCAGGCAAAATTAGTTGCAAGGACTCTTGAGAAATCCCAAGGGCAGTTTTGACAGCTCTATCCTCCACCAGATCTACCATTTTCTTTTCCACCCTTCTCTATCAGATACATGATTTTCATTTCTACTATTTCCATTCAAACCTACTATCATCTTTTCTATCATCTTCCCATAAGATGCATTATTTCTTTTCTCCTCCCTCTTTCTTTTCCCTTCTTCCATTCTTACATATACTCTCCTTTTCTTCTTTCTCCATGCATATGACTTACAATTGCCAAAAGTGCTAATATCCACTCTAACACCCAACTGTGAGGTCCACAGGGGCAGAGAGGTTGCTGACTCCTGATCTAAGGGAAAAGAGAAGAGAGGGAGAAGTTTTGTGACAAGCAAAAAAGAAGATTGGCTGGCTTGGATGTTTCAAGGCCCATGTAACACTGAGACACCTAAGTAACACAGAAGCTTTTATCAGCTTACAAATTTGTCAAGGGTTCTTGGCAGAACTTCAGAATTAGGATGATGAGATCTGGAGAAGACTCAAGGGCCAATGGTAGAAGATCCTAAAGGGAAATATAGAATTAGATTTATTTCACCAAAGAAAGGAAAATATTGTCTCAGTTATATGGGGAGAAGGGTACAACAGAGCAGTATTTAGCAATAAAATATAAGTGTTCTTCTACCCACAACAAATTAACTTCTCTAGGTGCTATGGCTGACACTTGCTTTGTACTCATTCCCCATGGAAGGGCTTCTGGAAATTTTTCATGGGCCAGGGCAAAAAGGAGGTTTGAAATCCCCTTTAAAACCTGTGACTCTGCTGGCTTTAGGAGCTATGTCTGCTGCTGGGTTTTACTTACTACTTCATCTAGGTTTGGTTTTGCTTTGTTTTGTTTTCCTATTCTTTAGACCCAAAGCCATCTTAGCCACAAGATCTGTCCTTGTATTTCACCAGGGACTCAATCGATTTAACTAATTTGTGAATCCAACAAGATTTCCTTACTGAAATGAATGCAAGTTTTACCAGTTAGGAAAGGAGAAGACCCATTTATCGGGGCTCTAGGATCACAGATCTAGAACTGGAAGGGACTTTGGAGACTATCTAGTCTAACCCCCTCATTTTACAGATGTAACAACCAAGACCCAGAGATGTTTAGCAACTAACTCAAGGTCACCAGCGTAGTGAGTAACAAAGCTAGAATCAGATCCTATTATTCCACATTCATTCAGAACTCATCTACTGCATTATGCTCCCTCCTTTCACCATCCTACCAATTTTTTTAATCCCACTATGGTAGATTTTGGAAGTTTGGTTTGGTGAGTGAGAGGTTAGAGAAGGTATAACTAACTCATCACCAAATGATTTCAGATTCAACAGACATAAATTATGGGTGGTGAAGACAATGGGTATTTCCATTATGGTAACTTAAGGATTTTCTCTCATTGTTGGGTGTGTGGTAAGGCCTTAATGACTAGTGGTGAGGCTTAGAGTAGAAAGGAAGAAGAATTCAGCTCATGGGCCTTCCAGCCCCATCAGCAAACCAATCATTTGTCTTCATGTAAGTTTGCAGCCCTTGGAGCTGCTGAGTAAGAGTGAATAACCATTTCTGCCCTCATTCACTACAGACCACAGTGTTTTGGATGGGAGCCATGGGAATAAAAGAGAGGGAGGATTTCATCCCTCTGTACCACTGTCTCACCCTGTAGATGT